GAGGCCAGAGGCAAGTCCAAGCCCACTCTGAAAGGGGCAGAGATCTATAGGCAGGGCATATATGATCCACCCTCATATGCCTTGTTTGCTCTCTCTGCCCACCACGACACTCAGTTCTGTCTGCTCCCTGGAGTTGGGGTACACTCAGGGATGTTGCTTTCCTGAATGTTTTGTCAACACCCCTCACCTGTTCGGTAGCGTAGGGGAGTGCGATATTTGGGATGTGTAGATTCCTATATAACTGAAGTATAACATGGTCTCATATTTTCAAAGTATATTCACCTATATTTGATGCTGTCAAAAGACTTCTTAAATTTTATGTATTTTGCATAGCACCCTCCCTGTTTCAGAAACAAAGCATGCTAAACATAATTTGAGCTTTGGTCTTAGCACAGTACCTGGCAAACAATAGGTGCTCAACACATTTTGCGTGGCTAGATGGGCGACTGCTTCAGGGTCATTGTTCTTTTTTTTTTTTTTAAGATTTTTTGTTAATTTTTATTTGACACAGAGAGAGACACAGCGAGAGAGGGAACACAAGCAGAAGGAGTGGGAGAGGGAGAAGCAGGCTTCCCGCCAAGCAGGGAGCCCGATGCGGGACTCGATCCCCGGACCCTGGGATCATGACCTGAGCTGAAGGCAGATGCTTAATGACTGAGCCACCCAGGCACCCCTAGGTTCATTGTTCTTGACCATTTATCATCCTAGCTTCTTCAGGACATAGGTCCTGTCTCACTCACTTTCATCTTCATATTCCCAGCTACCAGCAAAGTTGCTAATTCATAAATGGTGTTCTTTGACATTCAAAAGTATTTATTGAATACATAAGGATAGTTATATTTTTATGATATGAGTGGTCTCTGAAGTACTGTGCTTATAAAATTCTTCTGCCTCCTCCTCGTCCATGACCATCAGCTGTCACCTACTCTTTCCACCATGTCTTTCTGTGGTTTGCTATCTCTACACCCCCGGCCCCTCCCAGGTGCCAACTGTCTGCTCTGAGCCTGGGCTGGAAACCAGAAAAAGGAGATCAGCTACCATGTCTGCTCCAATTCTATGTCAAAAGGCTTAGAATAAAGATCTGAAGATGACCCTACCTGGGCTGTGAAGAAAATGTCTGAGCTCTCTGTCAGTTGTCCTCTGAAGTACCTTAAATTGCTTGCTTACTTGTCTTGTTCTAGATTGTGCTAGACTTAATAGATATTTGGAAAAAGGAAGTTCTCTTCATCCTCATTCAATCTAACCATGATTTTGGACTGGAATTATCTAAACTACTTATGCTTACATTTGAGATTTGGTCTCGCCAACATTGTGATAACATGCACGATTTTCTCCTTTTTGAAAACACAGAACCCTAAAACATGCTGCAGAGCAAATGGGCGCATAAAGCAGATAAGGAGAGAAGACCCAAGCTGCCTTTGTCCTAAAAACCAGGCCGGTTTCTGGGCCCAAGTGCCAGCCACTTACCTGTGGGGAGCACATCATTGGACACCTCTCCTTTGTCTCCTTTGTCACCCTTTGGCCCTGCTGGGCCCTCATTTCCAGTCAAGCCTAGCTCACCAGGGTCTCCCTTCTCCCCTGGGGTTCCTGTGGCTCCAGGCAGCCCTGAGGGGAGGAAAATGATTTATTAGCCTGTAGTACAAGAAATTCTGGTACACCACTTTGTAATATTGTACACTGTACTTTTAGGGTGAAGGAGCTTCAACAACCAAATACCTAAGACTTTGTTGCTGACATTTTAGGTCAGCAGCATGATCCAAACTCATTAAAGACTAGTGTTTCCGGGTGGCTCTTGTGAATATTTTAGGGACCTTTGGCTGGGTCAACAGGTTGGAGAGGAGTGGACCAGAAAAGGGGCAATTGCAGCAACAGTGGAAGGAAGGGAAGGCCTGACCCGAAGTTTGCCATGCAGGAAGGACGGAGCGCACAGAGGGGTCTGTGTGGTGCCCGGAAGGGTGGGTGTCGTCCCCTGCCTTCTTGGTTTCTTCCTCACAACATACTGGACGGGTAGGCTGCTCGGTCATCCTTATTCTCATTGTAGAGAAGCTGGAGCTCGGGCTTACTGTGGTCATCAATGAGGCCACTAGGTGAGCAGCAGGGATCTGATCCTGTGACATTCCAGTGCAAAATGCTTTTCATCAAAAGAGCAAAATGGGTAAAGTTACTCTAGCATAAGCGTTAAGAGGGATGCTGATAGTGTGGATAAAATGCAGTAGGTGGACTGTCTGCCTCTGTTCCCGGGGAGCCATAACTCCAGGAACTGCGGACCTGCCCCTGTCAGCTAGACATGGGTAAGAGTCTAGGCAATGGCCCCTCTCAGCATGCGTTATGGACCACACAGCATTCTGATCCCCGGGAGGAAGGAAGCAAACAAGGTGCATGATATGATTGCCCTGGTCACTGCTGGCAGGTAGTTTCCAGACACAAGCAGAAGGAGTGGTGCCCAAATAGAGCCTCGCCATTTCACTGAGGTGAGGAGACCAAAGCCAGAGTCTGGGGAGGTAGAGGTGGCTAGGGTTCATGAGGCAGAAGGAGGTGGTTGTGCAGACAGAGCTCTGGAGAACTTCAGAGGGGTCTCCTTGGGTCTTTGGCTGAGTAATGACCTGCAGGGTGAAACTACGAGGCAGGGCAAGAACAAACAGGAAGTTCACTATACAACTCTCAGTGCTTGCCCAGGGAAAGGGCTTCATTCCCACCAGGCAAAGCAGAGAGATCTCAGAAAATGATGTGATATTGGGTAAAGTCCTTGGAAAAGTCTTGTCTCAGCAGTGAGGCTAAATTAGCCCAAGAGTCAAGGCTGCTGTGGATCCATTATAACTAAACTTAAAAACCAGCTTCAGAAGTATTAAACAGCTGGGAGTAGTTTCACTGCCAGAATAGAGTCCACGATTTGAATCGTTTAGTGAATGTAATGCAGCACAGTAACAGTTTAAGAAAGGAAAGGATTGTATCATCTCAGCCGATGCAGAAAAGGCATTTGATAAAATTTAACACCTATTCTTTTTTTTTTTTGACAGAGAGAGAGCACAAGTAGGGAGAGCAGCAGAGGGAAAGGGAGAAGCAGGCTCCCTGCTCAGTAACACCTATTCTTAATAAGAATTCTCATCAAACAAAGAATAGGAAGAAACATTGTCAATCTGAAAAGGGACCTCTATAAAAATACCTATAGCTAACCTCCTCCTTAGTGATGAAAGACTAAAATGAAAGACTCACTGATTTCTCCCTAAGATCAGGAACAAGATGAGGGCATCAATATTCATCACTTTTATTTCACATGATACCAGAGGTCCCAGCTAGTGCAATAAAGAAAAAGAAAGAAAGAAAGAGAGAGAGAGAGAGAGAGAAAGAAAAGGAAAAAGAAAGAAAGAAAGAAAAGAAAGAAAGAAAGAAAAAGAAAGAAAGAAAGAAAGAGAGAAAAAGAAAGAAAGAAAGAAAGAAAGAAAGAAAGAAAGAAAGAAAGAAAGAAAGAAAGAAAGAAAGAAAGAAAGAAAGAAAGGAAAAGAAAGAAAGATTGGAAAGGATGGATTCAAATTGTCTTTATTTGAAGATAGCTGATTGTTTTGTAGAAAATCTCATGGAACCTATAAAAAAGGTACCAGAACTCCTGAGCACTCAGGGACCCTGGGGCCCTGAGAAGGAAAGGGATTGCCTAATATTGGGCAGAGGTATTGTCAGATATGAATCTATTAACACAGTCCCCTATCTGTAGGGCCTACATGCTCATTCTCACAACAGCTTCCTGGAGATATTGCTCAAAGTGGCAGAGATTTCAGGCAGCAAGGAAGAGCCAGAGGCATGTTTTAGTGCAAAACAGACCTTTGGTTCCTCTCAACTTCTATAACCAAGAGGGCTTAGGACCCATTCATTTTCTTTTCTAATTACCCTGCCTATCCCCAAGCCCCTTCCTTTTTTTTTTTAAGATATTTATTTATTTATTTGAGAGAGAGAGGAGGGGCAGAGGGGGACAGAGAGGCAGAGGGAAAGAATCTCAAGCAGACTCTGCGCTGAGCTTGGAGCCCAACGTGGGGCTCGATAACACCACCCTGAGATCATGACCTGAGCTGAAACCAAGAGTCAGAGGCTTATCCAACTGAACACCCAGGAGTGCCCCCCACCGCGGCCATGTTCCTTCTTATAGGCTCTGGCTACGTGAGTGCCCACAGCCCCTCTCTTACGCTCATCGACTTGGCCAGTCCCTACTCCCTGTCATCTTTTCAACCTTGCGATTGTCCTCCCTCCAGATTAACAGTTGAGATTTTAAGATCTGGACCCACCCTGGCCCCGCTTCCTACCAGCCCCATAGGATTCCAAAATCACTGTCCCAAGAGAATCTGAGAATTCAGGATTGGAAGGCAACTTTGAGGTCATTCAGATTAACCTCACATCCCAGCCCAGAAGCCTCTCTATGCTGCCTGACTGGCTCTTCTCAAGTCCTGTCAGCAGTGGGGAGGGAGGGTATTACATCCCATCATATCACAGATTATACCAGAAGATTCTGCATTGCCTCAAGAGGCAATATCCCCTAAAACCTACATCTGGAGCTCTCAGCACCTTTCCTTCATGCCGGGGAAGTGATACACACTCAGTGTGGCATTTGCTCTTCCCAATTCAAGGGACCGTACCCAGACCACCCCCAGGAGGACAGCAGTGTCCTCAAGAACCTTCAAATGTTGATCACTGTTAGACAACGCAGCACACAAAGTCGTGTTTGCCAGATTGCCGCCAACCACAAAAACCGCATCTTCATGACAACCATGACATTCAGCCCTTGCGGGGGAGTGAGAGGGCGACGCGCGCCGACAGAGGGCCTGGGGACCCAGGGCAGCGCCTCTGCTCCGCGGGGGCCTGTGCTGGGCGTGGTGCAGTCACACAGATGGCAAACCACGCCTGTGGGCAGGGGGCAGGCCTCCCTCGCAGCGGCAGCCAAGCCCCGTGGCCCTGGGTCACCCCTGCCCACGGCCGTTAGGACAGCTGGCTGGAAAGTGGCGCACTCACTCAAGAAGAGCCCTTAATCAAGGGCCTCTGCATAGGAAGACGTCCTTTTGTCGGGATTTTAAATAGGCAATTTGGCACATTATCTGCAGGACACAAAAGATGAGAACGTTGCCGTAGAGTTGGGCCTGCACAATGCGCCGAGGATAACCGATACCTTCTAAAGGTTTCACATGACCCGGATTCCGCAGTGCTCAGGGAAATGGTATCTTCTAGTTACTTCGGGGTTTTCTCTTTCAAGCATTTATTCTAGTCACAAAGAGCCTCTCCGCATCAGCATTCGATTTCCCCTTTATTCCTCCCTCTTGTGCCTTTTCTTTCTCAAAAAGGCCGTGTGTGAGACAGGAAAACGTTCCTTCCGGAATGCAGTTGTGGTTATGCTGCTCCTACAGGGGTGAGGCTCTAAAGCTAAAGATATTAAAGAGATTTGCTTAAGAATGTATTTTGACTCTGGGCTGGGCCTGCACGATCGTTTTTCCGCTTTCGGTAAGGAAGGGCGGGGGATGTTCTGTCTCCATACAGTCTGTCTTTTCTCTCCTGACCGATGCCTCTGACAGTTTCCTCTTGTCCCACCTTGGCCGTGCCCTGGCCGTGGGACATTGGAGGTACAGCACCACCCTATCCCATTCACTGTCGGAGGACCCCCCCCCCCCCAAGGGGGGGGGCACTTTCTTCCCTGGCCTGATGAGGCAGCGCCCGGCAGTGCTGTTACACTGTGCACGGCCCGGCCCCCCGCACAGTGCATCCTGTGTGAGTCCTGGCAGGCTTCGAGTCAGCACATTCTGCAGAGAAGAAAGGCTGGATTCTGCTCGCCCGCCTCGTCTGCTAGGAGTGGCTCTCTGCTACTTTCCCTCCCCTGTGGCACACACTCAAAACAAACTATCTCACCAGCTTTAGAGTTGGGGGTTGCATTATGTTGCTGGGGTCAACTTCAGCATCTTCACGGCAGGGGGTGAGGGAGGACCGCTTATTTTTGGCAGGACCATCTGTCGCTGACTGAGGCAGGGCAGCAAAAGGGGGCCGGGGGGGTGTCACACAAAACCCGGTCCCAAGATTGGGATGAATAAAGAGGAGGGCATTTATTTCTGTTGCATGAGGATTCAATTTTTAGAGAAGACAATGCAGTATTAACCCTTAGTGAGAAAGTGAGAGACAGATGGAAAAAAAAAAGCAAATGCTTGGTTTTGAGCCAATAGAATGTCAAACTTCATAGAAGATGTCAGTTGCAAAATTGACCACATTTAAGTCTCTTTAGTTCTCTCTGCGTCTAAGTCGGTGTTTTCAAATGAATACAGGCATTTCAACTTAGCTTTCCTTCTGGGTAAAAACCAAGTTTTGGAAACAATAGCTAACACTAATAGGGCACTCACTATGTGTCAGGCCGTATTCTAAACCCTATACATATCTCTCATTTAATCTTCTAAATGACCTTATGAGGTTGACACTATTATTGTTCCCATCTTACAGATGAGGAAACTGGCATAGAGTGATTAAGTAACTTGCCCAAGGGCACACAGCTAGTAAGTGGCAGAGCCAGGACCCAGACCATGCCATCAGGCTCCAGCGCATGCTATTCCACTGTTGTTCTCAGCATTGCCAAGGTCAGAAACCGA